GTGTAGCTTTTGCTTTACTTATTAAGCTATATCTCAGCCCAAGAGTTTTCTCACTTTTACTCTTCTGATTCTCTTCCCCATCCCAACCAGCGGTGGTGACCAAGTGGCTGTGTTGTCCTATTTGCCAGCTGGGGCTAAACCACAACAGATGCTTGAAGGATCCTGCCACCCGGTGAAGTGCTCCAAGCTTGCATCAGCTTGCTGTGATGCATCACCTTGGTGTGGCTGCCCTTCCCACCTACCCAGCTGCCTGGGCACGGGTGCTGGAAGCACGAGGCTTCCCCCTGGAAGAGATACAACACGGTTCCAGTAGGACGTTGGGGTGGGCTCAGGTCCCTCCATGTCAAATCTGAGGTCTTCCTCATGCGCCGTGCTGCTCCGCACCATCCGTCCAGTCCTCAGGGCATTTTTAAAATTATTTATTTACTTATTTATCTGTGGTGGTCTTCTGATCCTTTCAGAAACCCTTCTCATCCAGTGAAACACAAAGCACTTTGTTTCCAGTGCGTTAGCCTGGTGGGTTTCGATAGTCAGAAGATGGAGACTTCCACATGAGAGCCTCAGCCCCGTTTCACTTGCTCTCCAAATGTGAGCAGTGATGGGAAATGCAGTGTTTTGAACTTTTGTTGGTGTTTTTCTCAAGCTGTGCCTCCCCCTCAAAAAAAGAAATCCCACTGATGATGCTGTTTTCAGTAATACTTCCCAATGCGTACGGTGTGATTGCATTAATGCACTTCAGCTGAAGAGTATTATTTTGTCGCTGCAGTTCTTCTGCGAGTGATCTAGATGATGAACGCCAGAAAATATAATAGAAGTGGTATCTTTCTTTGTGCCCACTGAAAAACATGCAAAGTGATTTTTAAAATCACTTTTCAGATGTTTTCTGATGGAGTAGGGTAAGAGAGAGTGAGTTTTTTGAGAAAGCAACAAGAAATAACTGTTGCCACCTGAAGCTGTTTGGATGGAGGTATTTTTGGGATGACTCAGCCATAAGGCCTGAGAGTTGTTCTTGCCTTTAACTGAAGGGGAAAAAAAAATGCTGACATTTTCCTTCCGGCTGTTTTATTAAATATTTGAATATAAAACCCTGGCCCTTAAGTTATGAACTCATATTTTTTTAAGTTTTGATGGAGTAGCCTGTTCCTAGCATCCAGTATGGTGTAAATCTGCTGATTTCCCACTTATCCATAAACAAAGTACATGAGATTAAAAGAATAAAACCAAAGCCCTTTTTATTGTTTTAGAGCAGCAGTTTTGTATCCTCATCAAGAAGCCAAAAACCCCAAAATTTTTACAGTGCTACAGATGCATGCAAAGGTGGACAATGAAAAATATTTGTGTTCAGGCATTTTGCTTATGTTTAATGAACGTTTCCCACCCACCACCCCCATGTGAGCTTTCCTGGTGGCTTAAAAGTAGCGTTCCTCAGTGACAGCCACTCCATCCCTCTGTGTGTTGTCACTGTACAGGGCGACTGGTTCAGCAGGATGAAGTCATCTCATTACTCTGGCATAGGGACTCTCTTTTGTGGACAAAAGAGAGAGGAGTTTTCTTACATGAAAACCCAACCAAAAAATCCCACAACTGTAAGATTTATTTTGCTCCAGCTGAAATTACTGTCAGGAGTTACTGGTTTCATATTTTGCAAACCTTACACTTTTCACTATTTCTGCTTTCCTTGCTGAAATTCCTAAACCTTTATTTTTCTTCCTTAACTGTCCATCTAAATAAGGTCTTTAAATGTTTTGTTGAAAATTCCCTGTAAATGTGTTCAAGTTTGTGTGTGTTGATATACTGATGTCTTTAAAAAAAAGGTCTTTTTAAACTACATTTCGTTTGTGCTGTATATATCTCTCAGTGAAGATAAAAAAATAGAGTATAAAAGCTGGTGAAAAATCTGGTTTATTTTTTTATTTAAAAACCTACCATAGCACCATCGTATCTAACTCAGACTGTTGGTATCCATTTAATGATCTATCACAGCAGGAGGCGTGTAAAACAAGAAGCATATTTTACTGCGTGCCAATCTTTTTCCTTGCATTCCTAAAAAGCGCAGTTACATTATATATTTAAAACCCCAAGGAATTTGCTGATATTTTCACACAGCACATACCTGCTGTGAGAGCAGTGTTGGACAACGACGTGAAAAGGTTTAATACTGGAGTAAGAAAAGCCGTTGCACCCGTATTCTTTCATTTTATTTTACACAAGTACACATGCATAGATGTGTGTGTATATATATATATAACTGTTATATGATGTTACCTGGACTTTTTTGTGGTGTGCCCCTGGCTGGGATAACCAAGAGCTGGCTCCGTGGCTCGTGGCACTGCTACCACATGGAATCTCCTCTTTATACAACAGCACATATGAAGATTTCCTCCTCTGTTGTTGCTCTGCTTCTCTCCCCTGTAGTAAGCACTTAGTGAGAAGCGTCCCATCTTAAATCAGAGTGTCTGTCACCATCATCGTTTGCTTCTAGACGTGTGCTGCTCCAGAAGGCTGTCTGCCCAAGGTTGGGGACATTGGGATAGGTCTTATAATAATCTAGTTGTCAAGATATCTACTATCCTGTCATTTTATGGGAAGTAAAGAGGGTGCCATGCCTGCCACGTATTAGAAATTTCCAGTAGTTAAATTACTTTCTCTTGCCCCAGTAGAAGTAAATAATACTCCAGAGATAAATAAATATTTCCTTTGTAAAATTTCAGATTAGACAGTATCTTCAGTATCACAGGTTTAAGTCCAAAATAATACTTAATCAAGTGAGTATTGGATCAGATAACATTATTGGCAGTTAATAGTGGAGTTTGCAGTTTTCAGTTCCTCCTGGGTTTTTGCAGATGATTTTTGTGTAATATGTTTTTGCTTATGAGGAGCTTCCAAAGGAGGCTTTCTGGATGTGCACCAAGCATATCTTTACCTGGCTATTATTTCTGTTATCTGTGTTTCTTTGTTTGGGCTTGCAGTCTGACGAAGAAGTGGTTGGGAATTTCTGATAGGAACTCAATTTTTTATTTTATTATTTTATTTTTTTTAAATAAGAGGGAGAATTCAGCTAGGGAGAGTAAAGCATTTAATCTTTCTGGCAATCTAATGTAACGTGCTTCCAAAATACTTAAGTAATTTTTCTCTATAAAATAGGATGATCATGAATTTAAATGCATACATTTATTGTAGCATTTATGTGAAATATGAAGGTAATTCTTTTAAATAATGAAACCGCAGTTGTCTATGTACTTAAGTATACATTTCAGTGACAAATCTCTTTACATCCTCTCAAGAGGTAAACACCGTCTCTTGTGCGTTAGGTGTATCTCTAAAAAGAGTGGAAATGATTTTTCTAGCCAATCTGTGGGTTTGATTGCTTTTGCTTAATCTTGCAGCTCCATTTACGGGGTTAATTTGTTGATATTTATTTTTTCTCCTGTGTGTTCATGTATTTAATCAAATGTCACGCACCTTTGTAAGTTGCTCATTGCATCACCTTCCTGTAAAGCAATAATCTGTGGGAAAATGGTGTGAGATTGTTAGATACGCTTTTCTCTAATAGCATTAGCGGCACATGTCTATAAAAGATGCTTTGTTTATGTTTCCTCTTATTTTTGTTAGAAATGGTTATTTACAGCACTTTCTATTAAAAAAAAAAGTATAGATAACATGCAGTATTTCAGCTGAAGCTGAAATCCAGGAAGATGTTAAATATCAAATCTTCATTGTTCAAAATAAGGCTGTGTAACTGGGTTGGTAAAGACCTAGCGAAGGGTTCTTCTCTTTGAATTGCTTGTCTTTTGTCTTCAGCAGCTAGTAAGTCAGTACAAAAGAGACCGGGCATAAAAACTTCTCTTTAAATACATACGTATGTCTCGCTAATATCAGAGGAACAAGGGAGAAGTTGGGCTTTTAAAATTGTGGTGGTGGTCTTTGTCATTAGCAGTTCCATTTGGTCCGGCTCTGGAGGTCTGCCCAGTCACCATCCCTGTGAGATGCTTTGGTGCATCCTCTGGGACAGCGTACAGGAGATAAATGATTGAGCTTTAGCGAGGAAGGGAACCTGGTACCAGTCTTGAAAGGCAGAAATGCAGAACTGGAGTGAGCTGGTGAAAAAAACTCGGTCTTAGAACCGATTTGTTTCAGTTATAATGTTTTGGTCCTACTGAGAAAATAATTGGAAAACAATTTCAGACTTCGACTGTGAACAAATGGTTCCAACGTACTTGAGTGGTTCAGCTTATAAATATTAGAGAAGTCATTTAGACTCACTGATTTAAAAGTCTGTTGAAGAAAGAATCATTTTCTAGAAACTTTGTGTTTCTAGACATAAAAGCCAGACCACGTAATGGCCACCACACTTGTGAAGAATGAGGTGGGGACTTTGCAGAGCTTTGCTCCTCCTTCTACCCTGAGAAGTCTGTTATTTCCAGAGTTGTACCAGCCCAGGCAGAGAGGTTTGGGGTGAATCCGGTTATGTTCTGTGTGGGAATTTTGGGTAGTTTCACAGAGGAATAAGCACAGGGCTACTGCTCACCCCCCGCTACTCCCACGTGAGAGTATCAGCTCTGCTGCTTCCTGTAGCAAATCCTGTTTGCTCTTTGTGTCCCCGTGTTTAACGCCGCATTGTCTTGTTCTAACAGCATTTTTTCAAAACCATATTAAAATACTCTGTAATGCACCATAATACCTATTGCAAAGAGTCCCCTGGCTGTATAAATTATTACAGATGGTATGAAACTACGTCGGGATTAGCTGTTGACTGCAGATCCAATGCCAGCGCTTTTGTGTCTGCAGTTCCGTGTAATTTAACATGTCAATAGCCTTGCTGGTAAAACACGATAAAATTTTATATGACCATATTACTCATAATGTACTGCATATTTATGTGTGAATGGTATCACTCCTAAACATAAACAGATAGCTCAAGACAGATTTCAGTAAATGACTTTCTAAAATCATGGGGGCTTTTATATATGTATTTTAATAGGGATGTCTCTTTCTTGCAGATAAAATTGAAGAAGCACAAAAACAACTTAATGGAACAGAAGACCAACAGAGAGGTAATAAACAAACCCCAAAAATGAAATGGAAAAAAAAAAAACACCAATGCATTGTGATTCTAAAGGCTGATCCAAAGCCTTTCTGCCTGAACGGGAAGGTGCCATCGAGCCGGGTGCTGGGTGAGGCCCTGAGGCACATCTGTCTGCGGGTTAGGGGCTGTGATCTGTGACCCCCCCAATTCTGCTGAGACACAAAGGCTTGGTTTTAACCACTGGAGTAGCTGCGTCGACCTTGATGAGACACAGCTGAAGCTGTCGCCTTAGGGATGCGCACAAGTTCCTGACTACAGCCTGTGCTAACCCTTTGGTTCATTGTGTGATTTGCCTAATCATTAATAACCGTGTTTGGTTCGTGGCCGAGCAGTATGTGATGGTTTCTAGCAGATGCCGAAGGGGGATTGATCATCGCAGGTTATTTTAAGAAACAGACGACCTGTGACAGATTCAATCTGTGTGTTGGAGCTTGGAAAGCTGGTGGAGAGTCATTGCATTTCAAGGCTGGCTGACTGCGGTGGTACCTGTTTGCTTGTGTGATAAAGCTCATCTGCAGAGGAGCCCAGAGAGACATTGTTGGGGGGGAGCCCAAACAACACCTTGATGGGCTATTCCCAGGCCCATCACGGGAGAGCCATGAAAGGTCCATGTCCACAAGCCCAGAGGAGCACAGGGGCGGGTGGAAATACAAATTAAGGACGCAGAAAAAGAAAGACCCTGTCCAGTCCCCTCTCAGGGCTGTCCCAGCAGCGTCCAGGCATGAAGCCCATCACCACAAGCTATAGGGAGCAGCTCTCTGGATTGCTTTTTGGACTAAGGGCAATCATAAGGGTGTGAGACATGTCAGGGGATGCAGGGGAAGAACCTTATGGGGCTGCACAGCGCTTGTTATGGGATCCCTAGGGCAGGAACCAAAGGTGGGAAGAGGGGAGGGATTTAGGTGACATGGGCAGGAACAGATGTGGGAAGTAGAGGGATAAGAGAATAAAAGGGTCTGTTTGCGTATTAGCAGGTGCTGGCCAGGATGCTTATCTGATGATGATCTGCTCCTGACCAGCAACATCTCCCTGTCTCCTCATTAAACTCCTCGTTAAACATCACCTCCAACTGTTTTCCAGTGAGGGGATCTTTACTGCCTGGGTGTGTTACGGGGGTCGGTGGTGCAGTAGCTGGAGTGAGTGTGGGAGATTGTTAGCAAGGATCAAGCTGGACGAGACAGCGAGTAGGTGGAGTGGGCTGAGGGCCAGGATGGGTTTGGTGGTCTCTAAAGGTCAGCTCTGGGTGTGAGAGCAGCTTTGTGTCTGTAGGAGTGAGAACACAGGGGGACCAGCTTTGTGTGTGTGTCTGCCTGCCCACAGCCTCGAGGGCTCATACATCCAGGTGGCAGCAACTGGGGAGACTGAGGCTACTGGAGGATGGCTACTGGGCAGACTGAGTGTCTGAGCCCAGCTGCTGGAGGGGTACACCTTGGACACATAGATATATTCACATTAATGGGCTCCCATCCTGCTCAGCTGGGGTGGGAAGCAGAATGATGCTGTGACTGAGTGTCTGTCTGGGATCTGTATGTCCAGCCATATATATGTGTATGTATGTGTGTGCTTTGTGTATGTGTGCCTCTTGGAAAAGCATGTTCAGCCTCGCTACTGGTTGGACCTGGGGACACGGAGCAGCAGCAGCTTTGCCTCTCTTGGGCTGCCACATTCAGCTTGAGATACTTTCCTCTAAGCATACCCTGTGTCAGTGCTTTCTCTTCTTCTGGGTAGGCATTCACCTCTGGTGGTAGGGAGATGTTCTGGCCTGTGACACGTCTGTGAACACCGTTGTAAATTGCTGATGCTCTGTCCTGGAATCAAAGTCTATTATCTTTTGAAACAATGAACTTCAAAATTTTTTGGAGATTAGAGAGCTTAAGAAATATCCAAGCGGATCTCAGCAGGGTCCATCTTGGTCCAGCATTCTGCCTTCAACGGAGGCAATAGGACGTACTGTTCAAGGACAGCACATAAGCCTGGCCACGTTCTGCAGTCCATTCCCCTCATGCTGTCCACGGACATTGGATTAGGGATGTTTGCCTCGTCGCTTTAGTAGCTAGACATTTTTGGACCTGTTATCCATTAAGCCTTTTGATTAAATGCTCTCTGCTTCCAGCATAGTCTGGCAGCATACTGCAGAAGTTCACTACTAATCTCATAAAAAAGTACATTATTTTACTTTTTTTTTCTCAATTTCCAACTAGTTTCAACAGGTGTCCCCTGGTTCAAACATTGTGCAATTTGTTAAATAGCAGTTCTATATTCACCTTATCCACTGCCTTTGTGATTTCATGAACATCGTCCGTGTCCCGCTCGCCGTTCTTTTCTCCAAACTCATTACTGGTTCAGTTTTTCAAGGGATGGTTTGATACAAACTGTCTGGTACGGGCACCAGGACTGTGATGTTGCTCTATGTATTTGTGAAAGGTGGAAGAGTTTAAAAAAAAAAAAAGTGTCTAGGTGGAAATAGCAGTCCTTCAAACACTTATAAAGACATTTCAACAAACTAGACTTTCTTCTAAATAGTTTGGACATGGTTTTGTTCTGTGGAACACAGATAAGTGGAACTGTCATCCAAACATAAAAAAACTTGTGTGAGGTATTCCTGTCTGCTCTTGCTGCTGTTGGTCTCACAGAAGTCATATTGGTCTGGATTATTCTTTTGTGATGGACATGTTGAAACTAAAGATGAGCTAACCTCTGCTTTCGGGCGTTTGTTCTCACATGTGGCCCAGTAACACCTTTGCACAAAGGAGATTACTTCTCTACTGTAAACTTAATGGTGTTCTCTGAAAGCGATGGGGTTGCAAAGATTTATGTGACGGTGGCACTTGGCTTTCAGCAACTCAGAAGTCAGAGATCATCACTTAATTTTTGAGTCCTAATCGAAATTCATATGGCTGACAATTGAAAAGTAAATTTCTACACAGAAAATTGATACAGAAATAACTGAGATAATAAGGCTACTCTTTTCAAATGAAAAATGTTCTGTGCGGTTTTTTTTTACTTCTTAAAGATTTGAATAGATAGATTTCTTGGCAATATGAAGTAAAGGAAATTATTTATTTGAAGCTTTAGTGTCTTAAGGCCACTGCAAAAAAGAAAATATATGTTTTGAACTAAACAAGTAAACAGAAATGTGTGCATATTCACATAAGTTATTTTAAATCACAATCCAGTGTATACAGATTCACGTGAATTATGGTTGTTTATTTTGCTTCTTTGTTCATGTATTTTGTCTCTCAGTTCATCTAGATCACTTTAGATTTGTTTACTCCCTATCCAAAATGAACAGGGAATGTAATTTTGTGGGATTTATCATATTAACTACTGCTCTATCAGTACCAGAGCTGTCAGTGGCACAGTATATTTGCAAGGAGAAATTTTTCATAAGTTTAATCATCTGTGTTTCTGCTGACTAGCATTGTGCACTGATCAGTCATAACTTTATACATGTGTGGGATTTAAGTTAAATTTAATTGACTGCTAAAGGATATGTATTTAACACCTCATTTTGCCATTAGCTGCAGTAATCCAATTAAGTCGTAATAGGTCTCTATAAAGCACAGAGAAGACAGTAAATGAACAGACATAGTTTTTAAGTTGCAAACTTAAAAAAGACTTTGGTTATTTAATATATAGTTGCAACTGGAAGACATACTTTTTATTTTTTTTTCTTTTGAAGTGATAGTCACAAATACATTCAGGTTATGGATATTCATGTGACCTGCCACTTGAGGCCAGAAACATGTTTCTCAGGGGCCATCCTTACCTTCCTGCTCACTGAGTATGTAAGGTGGATAATTCTTGTGCCATTGCATTTTCTCTCAGCTTCCCAATTGCTGCAATGAATTTTCAGTAGGAGAAGCTGTGCTTCTCTTTAGCTTTCATGATACCTGCCATGGCTGCTTTACACCCCGGGTGTACCCCTGCTTTGGGGTTGAATTTCATCTTCTAACACACATGCAGGGTTTCATTAGTGTGGTGGAGAAGGTCTTGCTCCCAACGAGTCTTCCACATGATGTTCTTTAAAACCTGATGGTGAGCTTGAACTACAGGAAACTTCTCCTTGAGAAGGCAGTGAAAGCTTTCTCTGATATGGGACCCTGTGGGTGTCATGGGTTGGAAGGCATTCAGCCAAATCTGACTGCTTTGTCTTTGATCTACCACTAGCCATCCGCCTAAGAAAGCCATCCCAAGAAAGTCTCTCTGTCTTCTCCCTTCCAGACTGGTAAAGTCAAGTCCTCTCAGATCCTTGTGATTACCACAGAGGCTTCTGATTTGGTCATCCCCAGAACCAGTTCAGCCACTGAAGGCCAATATGAAGCGCTGTAAGCATTTGATTTCTTCTTTATCTGTTGCAGCAGTTCTCTGCCTGTCACAGCAGTCTGGGTCCCAGGTACATCAGCTCCACCAACACTGTCATTGCATCAGTTAGGGCTAGTGGAACTAACTTGGTTATCTCTGTACTTGGCACCAGTGATGCTAAGGCTGCCATCTAAATCTCTATCTTGGCTTCTGAAACTGTGTAGGGAACTACCCAGCAACACCAAGATTCACCATCTGGGGTCTCTTCTGACTCTTAAGAGTGCCATTCTGGACTCAACTACATCATTTCAAAGAACTGCTTCTTGCTGTGTCACAGCTGAAAGGATCCGTGATAAATGGCTAGATCAGATGGAAGATGAATTTCCTCATTCTGCTTCTCAGTCGTGGCGATTGCTGTGTCCTCAGAGCGTAAGGTGGTCAGGGATGATCTGGGGACACACCTGTGTTTCTCAGCCTCATTGCAGTTTAGACTTGCAGACTGTCATAGCTGTTTGTCAGGTATGAATTCATCCCTCTGAATGAGGGAAGATTTGCTTGTTGTACACCACCTTTCCTTCAAGGTCTGTGCTCTGTAGCATGGACCAAGATCGATGTTCTGGTGGCTATGTTACAGCGCTCCTGGTCTCCCCACCAGAAAAGACA